GGTTCTAGTCCTGGTCGGGGTGCCGGATTCTATCCTGGTTGCCCCCCTTCCAGGCCAGCTCTCTGCTGTGGCCCAGGAGTGCAGTGGAGGATGGCCCAAGTGCTTGGGCCCTGCACCTCATGGGAGACCAGGAGAAGCACCTGGCTCCTGCCATCGGATCAGCGCGGTGCGCCGGCCGCAGTGGCCATTGGAGGGTGAACCAACGGCAAAAGGAAGACCTTTCTCACTCTCTCACTGTCCACTCTGCCTGTAAAAAAAAAAAAAAAGAAAAAGAAAGGAAAAAAAAAAAGAGGATATCAACTGGACAGAGAATGTCGATAAACTGGGAGAGGCCTCTAATTTGAAAGAAAATAGGAGCAACTACTGACAAATTGAAAAGCAAGAACTGATTTGTAAGAGAAATTGAAAGAGCTAAGATGACAGAAAGCTGTGTTTATAGAGTGGCATATTAAATTTCACAGAATGAGCACTACAAATAGTGACAAATCACTGGACATAGCCCTGGATGAAAGTGGAGAAGCATACTAGAAGTAAAGGTTATGAGATACGAGGAGGGGTTAAGGAACTGCCAAGATCAGAATGGCAAGTGGCTTATCCACATGGACTTTGAGGTCACCCAGGATGATGGCAGGACACAGGATGATGGTGAGCCAGGCAAAAATATTTTTAGTGATAGTAGATAAAAAATTAGATGGGGGTGAATGATAGATAACAATGCTAGATTGGCTAGATGGCAGATAACAATGACAAAGTAGCCTGGAAGGTGATACAACCAAATGGAAATAGTCTCAAAGGAAAAGATTCTATTAAAAAAAAAAAAGCAGAAACATAGGTCTGGATGTAGCAGTGAAGAGTTGTGATAATCCAAAGCCACCTTTATCTGTAGTATGAGGAGCACTGATGAGCAATTTCCTATCCAATAGTGGTTGGAACAGTCTCATCATTCTTGAAACAGACACATATTACAAAGGAGTGATAAGTTCTCCGTGCATTCAACCAGTACACAGGAATCCTCTAATATGGCTGTTGTATTATTCATGAGAATCAGTAAGCCACAGTCACCATTATATGGTAGATATCTCCTCTGCACTGCTGTACCCATATAGTCTTTTTTGAAGAAAATCAGCCAGCCAATCTCAGAAACAACAACTAAAACATAATTAAACACGTTTAACTATTTCTAAAATTGAGGCTGATCATTCAAAAACAGTGAAGTAAACTTTATTGGCAAACTTTAAAATTCTCCCTTCTTCCTCATTTACTACTAATTGGCAGTAACCTTAAGACTTTCTGGTTATGGCTTCATTGGTCTGAAATCCATCTCATATGGCCCTGATAGAGCCTCTATTTTTCTTTGACATGTTAAACAATTAGAATCAAAAAAGAAAATAGGATTCATAAATTCTGATTACAAAATGCCTTAAAATGCTATTTATTTTTTTAAACTTTTATTTAATAAATATAAATTTTCAAAGTACAGCTTATGGATTACAATGGCTCCCCCCCCCATAACTTCCCTCCCACCTGCAACCCTTCCATCTCCCCCTCCCTCTCCCATTCCATTCACATCAAGATTCATTTTCAATTCTCTTTATATACAGATATCAATTTAGTATATATTAAGTAAAGATTTCAACAGTTTGCATCCACACAGAAACACAAAGTGAAAAATACTGTTTGAGTACTAGTTATAGCATTAATTCACACATTGAACAACACATTAAGGACAAAGATCCCACATGAGGAGTAAGTGCACAGTGACTCCTGTTGTTGACTTAGCAAATTGACACTCTTGTTTATGGCATCAGTAATCACCCTAGGCTCTTGTCATGAGTTGCCAAGGCTATGGAAGCCTTTTGAGTTTGCCAACTCCAATCTTATTTAAACAAGGTCATAGTCAAAGTGGAAGTTCTCTCCTCCCTTCAGAGAAAGGTACTTCCTTCTTTGATGGCCCGTTCTTCCCACTGGGATCTCACTCACAGGATCTTTCATTTAGGTTTTTTTTTTTTTCCCAGAGTCTCTTGGCTTTACATGCCTATAATACTCTCATGGGCTCTACATCCAGATCTGAATGCCTTAAGGGCTGATTCTGAGGCCAGAGTGCTGTTTAGAACATCTGCCATTCTATGAGTCTGCTGTGTATCCCGCTTCCCATGTTGGATCGTTCTCTCCCTTTTTAATTCTATCAGTTAGTATTAGCAGACACTATTCTTGTTTATGTGATCCCTTTGATTCTTAGACCTATCATTATGATCAACTGTGAACTGAAACTGATCACTTTGACTAGTGAAGCTGCATTGGTGGCCGGTGCCGAGGCTCAATAGGCTAATCCTCCACCTAGCGGCACCGGCACACCGGGTTCTAGTCCCGGTCAGGGTGCCGGATTCTTTCCCAGTTGCCCCTCTTCCAGACCAGCTCTCTGCTGTGGCCTGGGAAGGCAGTGGAGGATGGCCCAAGTACTTGGGCCCTGCACCCCATGGGAGACCAGGAGAAGCACCTGGCTCCTGCCTTTGGATTAGCGCGGTGCGCCAGCTGCAGCGTGCCAGCTGTGGCAGCATTGGAGGGTGAACCAACAGCAAAAGGAAGACCTTTCTCTCTCTCTCTCTCACTATCCACTCTGCCTGTGAAAAAAAAATTAAAAAAAAAAGAAACTGCATTGGTACATGCCACCTTGATGGGAATGAATTGGAATCCCCTGGCATGTTTCTAACTCTACCATTTGGGGCAAGTCAGCTTGAGCTTGTCCAGATTTTTACATCTCCTCCCTCTCTTATTCCCACTCTTATATTTAACAGGGATCACTTTTCAGTTAAATTTAAACACCTAAGAATAACTGTGTGTTAATTACAGAGTTCAAAAATAGTATTAAGTAGAACAAAAAAATACTGAAAAGGATAAAGTATTAAGTTGTACATCAACAGTCAGGACAAGGCTGATCAAGTCACTGTTTCTCATAGTGTCCATTTCATTCAACAGGTTTCCTTTTTGGTGCTCAGTTAGTTGTCGCCGATCAGGGAGAACATATCATATGTGTCCCTTTGGGACTAGCTATTTCACTCAGCATGATGTTTTCCAGATTCCTCCATTTTGTTGCAAATGACCAGATTTCATTGTTTTTTACTGCTGTATAGTATTCTACAGAGTAATGTCCCATAACTTCTTTATACAGTCTACTGTTGATGGGCATTTAGGTTGATTCCAGGTCTTAGCTACTGTGAATTGAGCTGCAATAAACATTAAGGCGCAAACAGCTTTTTTGTTTGCCAATTTAATTTCCTTTGGGTAAATTCCAAGGAATGGGATGGCTGGGTTGAATGGTAGGGTTATATTCAGGTTTCTGAGGAATCTCCAGACTGACTTCCATATTGGCTTTACCAATTTGCATTCCCACCAACAGTGGGTTAGTATCCCTTTTTCCCCACATCCTTGCCAGCATCTGTTGTAGGCAGATTTCTGTATGTGAGCCACTCTATTCCGGGTGAGGTGAAACCTCATTGTAGTTTTGATTTGCATTTCCCTGATTGCTAGTGATCCTGAATATTTTTTCATGTGTCTACTGGCCATTTGGATTTCCTCTTTTGAAAAATGTCTGTTTAAGTCCTTTGCCCATGTCTTAACTGGGTTGTTTGTTTTGTTGTTGTGGAGGTTCTTGATCTCTTTGTAGAGTCTGGTTATTAATCCTTTATCGGTTTTATAGTTTGCAAATAATTTCTCCCATTCTGTCAGTTGCCTCTTCACTTTTCTGACTCTTTCTTTTGAAGTACAGAAACTTCTCAATTTGAAGTAATCCCAATTGTTAATTTTGGCTTAATTGGTTAATTTGGTTACTTTGTGCCTCCGGGGTCTTTTCCAAGAAATCTTTGCATATGCCAGTGTCTTGCAGGGTTTTCCCAATGTTATCTAATAATTTGATGGTGTTGTTTTGTGGATTTAGATCTTTAATCCATGTTGAGTGGATTTTTGTGTAAGGTGTAAGATAGGGGTCTTGCTTCATACTTCTGCATGTGGAAATCAAGTTTTCCCAGCACCATTTGTTGAATAGACTGTCCTTGCTCCAAGAATTGGTTTTAGGTCCTTGATCAAAAATAAGTTGGTTGTAGATGCTTGGATTGATTTCTGGTGTTTCTATTCTGTTCCACTGGTCTATCCATCTGTTTTTGTACCAGTTACATGCTGTTTTGATTACAACTGCCCTGTAGTATGTCCTGAAATCTGGTATTGTGATGCCTCCAGCTTTGTTTTTGTTGTACAAGATTGCTTTAGCTATTTGAGGTCTCCTGTGTCTCCATATGAATTTCAGCATTATTTTTTCCAGATCTGAAAAGAATGTCTTTGGTATTTTGATTGGTATCCCATTGAATCTATAAATTGCTTTTGGGAGAATGGACATTTTGATGATGTTGATTCTTCCAATCCATGAGCATGGGAGATTTTTCCATTTTTTTGGTATGACAGAGATTAAGAATAAAATGAAGAAGTGATCTTAATAAATGGCATAGCTGATATTTGGCTTTTGTTCTTTGCACATGGCAAATGTTTAAGGCCAATTCTTTCTTCTCTGAAAATTTTTATGTTATCCACCCACATTTCCCCCTCTTGAAGTTTAACTCAGAGGCCTACAACCATTCAAAATCAAAACCATAAGCTCATGTGTAGCTACTGGATGCCATGTACTGTATCAGATGCTAGGATATTTATCTAAAACCTGGCAACCCTAGACATCAATCAAATGGCATATGAGAAAATTAATTTTCACTCTCAACAATCATATCAACTTCAACTTTTCAAGTGTATTTGGTCACAAAGTCTTATTTTACAAGGCACCTGTTACTGTAAAAAAAAAAAAGCTATAGGTCATTAATAGTCTCATTATCCAGATGTTAGTTGATATGTGCTATAAACTGCTGGCCAGAGTACAGGGTACACTTTGAACATATAAGTAGGAAAACTATCTTCAGACAGCATGCATTCTAATTCTTGAAATAATTAAGTCCACAGAGTATAGTTTAAGACATGGCAGGTATGCTTATGCTTTAATTGATTTGAATTTCAGAAATCTAAGGTATTTATGCAAAGAGAAACTAGAATGGGTTAGCATCAGAACAGTTAGGCGATTTCTTGAACTTTGAACTTCCACATCATAGTATGAAGTTGTTTCCAAGATAAGAAATAGAATAAATTCTCTCCTAAGGACTGGTCTGAATCTCTGATTGCCCAGAGACTAACTCAACTGAGATCATGGCGTTTGATGGTGCTTGGAAAGTTGACCGAAGTGAGAACTATGACAAGTTCATGGAAAAAATGGGTAAGAACTTCATTCTTAGTGGCACTTTCTGTGCTTTCTCACAGATGTTTTTCTGACTTAGGAATTGGTTCTGATATGGAGGAGGGGATCGAGAAGATAATGGTTCAGAGTAGGGAAAACCACATTCTTGCTTCCTATATTTGGAAGAATACATGGTCTCACCAGTGTAAACACAGAAAAAAGATCAAGATGTACTTCCTTCACTCTTTATCTATTGATTGTACCTATATCATGGAAAACTAGCATTGTTTTTTTGAGAAAGAAATGCACAGAGTAATGATAATTTGCAGATTTTAAAACATTGAAATTCAAAGGCAGCAAAAGCAAAGACCATATACTAAATTGATGGAAAAGAGTTCCATCAAAATTCACAACTGCAAATAAATTAGGTTAAGTTCTCTTTTCTCCTATAAAATTCTGGGAATAATCTCAAGAAGCTAAGTATTTTCTTTGAGGTTTTGAATTTAATTGATATATAAATCTATTCTAATATTCTGGCAGTTCATGCGCTGTATAAGAGGGGCAAAAAAAGTGTGTCATTTCCCTCAAAATAAAAATATGCATGAATTATATCTGATAGTTTAGGGATTCCAAGTTTAATTTTATGGAATTTGTATATTATTATTATGAATTTGGCTATAAAATTTTTTAATCTCATTTTGTGTCAGAAATGCCACAAGGAGCAAAGTGAATTATGAAGTTCAAAATTTATAAGCCATTATGGAAAACAAAGGGGCATTAATTAAAAAAGGAATACTGTATATGTGGTAGTAAAGTGTTTTTTTATAAATACAGGAGTAGACCTTTTATCCTTCATTTGACATTTCTGCATTTTGATTTCCTTAACACTATGACAAAAAGTTTGTTATTATTTTTAAAATTACTCAACTCTATGATTCTAAAATTCTTTTTATTATTAAATTTTTTATTTATACAAAGGGAATAAATTTCATGTATTTCATATATACAGTTTTAAGAATTCAATGAACCTTTGCACCATATTCTCCCTCCCTCATTCCCACTCTCCCTCCTCCTTTCTTATTTTTAATTTTTGCAATGACACACTTTCAATTTACTTTATGATTCTAAAATTCTATGTTTCACTTATCTTTTCTTAAGCTTTAGAGAAACAGTTTGAATCACTTCTTTTGATACAACTGAGCTTGAACTTTTCCTACAAAAGGAATCTGAATGCTCTTATGCAAAGGCAATGCTATTAGGTTTTCTTCCTCACCCTAAAAAATAAAAATAAACAAATAAAACAGAAATTAGAAAAATAAACACTTTCCATGCCACTTTGATTTTATTTTGTCCAATCTCTTTCCTTTTGAAGGTATTAATGTGGTGAAAAGGAAGCTTGCAGCTCATGATAATTTGAAGGTGACAATTACACAAGATGGAAACAAATTCACAGTCAAAGAATCAAGCAATTTTAGAACCATTGAAATTGTTTTTGAACTTGGTGTCACCTTTAATTACACCTTAGCAGATGGAACTGAAGTCAGTGTAAGAAATTTTTCATAAGTAATGCATTCTTGATTTTTCTATCCAACAGTAAAATAATCTCTACTCTATATCATTGGATGGTTTAACTATTGCAGGTCTCCTTCATTTACTGAAGAAACCAATGGATTCTCTTCATGTTAAATATTGCATAAATTCGCAGGGTATTTAAACATAATGTTTATAACCTCATACACATCTGTGAAGCACCTAAATTGAACAGTAAGAATTAGAAAAATACCCTGTGAATGACTGGGTATAGACCTATTTATAAAAAAATTTACAGTTCAGTGATTCCAACTTTATATATCTGAAAGCCACAAATGCTTTTAGAGTCATGGAACTTAAACACAACAGTTACTTAATAATTGGACTGAAAAAATAAATTAATAAATTAATAAGTGAGTGAGTTATCCAATTGAAAGGTCTAACATAATATAGCTCACTAGAAATGTACCTTCTCATGTTGGACATAAAAACTTTTAGGAAGTCATCATTTTCCACCAATTTTTTAAATTTCATAATTTTTAAAACTCAGAATTTTTCTAGTTAAATTATTTATTTACAATGACATTTTAATTGCTAATGTTTTGTCAGTTATGCCATTCTTTAATTACTACCACAGTCACAGGTTAAAACAGTGTTGATAGCCTCTTCATGAAACTAATTTGAACCATGACTAAATTTAAGACATTTTTCTTAAACGGAATGATTTAGAAAAAAGAAGCATTGCTCATCTGCCTTAAAATTCAGCATATGCAAAATACAGAGGTAGATAAGTACATCTACCAACATGTACTCTAGAACATAATAGCCTGGGTTCAATCCTGGCTCCATGACTTTAGGTGAATTATTATGCCATATCATAATTTCCTCATCTGTAAAATGGAGGAGATAAGAGTCTCACAAAGGGTCACTGTTAAGATTAAAGGGGGAAGAAATGGACTCACCATATAGATCTTTTAGTGCCTGACACGTGTAAGACTCTAATAAATGTCTCATTATTACTATTATTGTTATTTAGGGGGCCTGGAACATTGAGGGAAATAAACTTGTTGGAAAATTCAAACGGCTGGACAATGGAAATGAACTGAATACTGTCCGAGAAATTGTAGGAGGTGAATTAGTCCAGGTGAGTTGTAAAAGTATTTATAACTATCTTGCGAAGACAAAATGATAAAAATATTTTTTGTTACTGAATTACAACTTCAATAAACAGATTAGTTATTTTCTTATGAATTCTACCAATTTAAAAAATATACTTTCCAATACCTATTTATAAAAAAGAACATTATATATATATATATATATATATTTCAAATACATCAATGCCCAGTTTAACTAAAAATGTAAATGACTACAAACCAAAAGTGTTTTGAATGGCTGTATCCTATATCTGCATAAAATTTTGCTATCAAGTACAAGGAAAACAAGGAACAAATTCATTTAAAGTTATAATAATAATATTTTTCTTTATTTGACACTGACATCTTAATGACAAATTCTTCTGTTTCTTAACACCTTTCAGACTTATACATACGAAGGAGTAGAAGCCAAGAGGATCTTTAAAAAGGAATGAGCATTGTTCTTGGAGCAGGGCCAAGAATAAAACTTGGATGAAAGATCTATATTGCAACAAAACTGTTTTGCTTTCCTCATGAAATATAAGGTTACTGACTGATTAATCCTTTTATAAACATTGATGTATTTTCAGTCTTGCCAAAGCAAAAGAAGTAAACACTAATTTGGATTTAATGTGTTTTTCATTATTTAAGATATGCACTTATTGGCCTTCTAAAGAAATTCTGTAACATTTTAAAATAAAAATATTGTTCCCACATCGCTGTATTAGTAGCCTCTCCCTTAAAAAAAAAGAAGCTATGTGACAAAGACTGTTAATGTGGTAAGCCAAGTATGGTCTGCATGAGAATTTTTAAAATGTTACCCTGGTTGTGAATAATTTTCTTGGTAATCTTTTTTATTATAAAAGTAACATAGGACACCAGAAAACCTAGAAATAAGAAAAGCAAATGCAAAATAAATATTCTCATATATTCACTATCCAAAGATAATCACCATTCTGATTTTGATAGCTATCCTCGCTGTCCTCTTCCCTGGGTGTGGGTATTTCCCAATACATTCCACTTTGAAGACTGTGATAGGAAGCAAGTGACGTCCTAAGTTAAATGAATGTATGATATTTTTCTACATTGTCCATGGTTCTCATGAAAAGTAGGATCACCTGAGAAAGGCAAAAAAATTTTTCATACTTAATCTCCATCATCAATCTACTGATCAAAATCTCTAAGCTCTCTTCTACTCTTTTGGTACAAACATACTGCCAATTTGCCAGGCCCAAAAAGTTTCCTTTTACTGATTTGCACATGTGTATTATTTTATGGGCCTCAAACAATGGTATTTTAGCAGAATGCATTTCTATATTACAGGGTAGAAAGTGAGATCAATTTTTTGAGTGTTTACAACTCCATGGGCTTGTTGTTTTGACACATTCTTTTTCATACTGAAGTAGGTAACAGCTCACATTTTCATAGTTCTTACTATATGCTATGGACTCTTCTAAGTGGTATACACATATAACAAATAAATTACAATGTGTGAAGAAAAACGTCTCAGCCCATGATGGAAATGCACAGAGCATATGGAAGGTTTTGCAAAAACAAAACATAAATCTACTGTTCATCATATAACTTCAAGAGAATCTTTACATAGGAAATAGTAATTATTTATATTTTCACATGCCTTTTTATAGAGATTCAATATATATTTATCTCTCTAATCTTACTTGTCTACAAATGTGAAACATGAAAAAGGCAGGTATTAATCTCATTTAAAAGGGAAGGCTAAAATACAAAGAAGTTTATTAACTCATTTAATGTTGTATAGGGGCCATGATGAACACAAGAAATAAATCTAGGTCTTGATTATCAGTCTAGTACACTATGATATGCTATTACCCAGCTTGTTAAAAGTAAAGATATCTTCAGAAAAAAAAATCCCTGAATTCCTTAATGACACCCAGGTATAGCACTCCAAATGGGTCAGGTCAGCTGTAAAATAATGGCAATTCAGTGGTTAGACACTCCTATTTCAAGCCTCATCACAGATTGTTGTTGTTTTTTTAATTTGTATCTATCTAGTATTAAATTTCCACTACCTTAGTATTGGTAAATTGCCTATTATTTGCTTAGTGACTGTCATTTCAATAACCCCTTCTTGAGACAACAGAACTTGCCATTATGTCACCCTGTTTGGCCAAGTGAATGTGCCTGACCCAAGAGCAGCCAATCTACCAAAATAGGGCCAGGGTATGAAGTCTGTGCAAACTGAACAACAGCTACTAGCAGAACTTAGAATTATCTCTTTTTAGGGAGTTTGAAGTTGAGAAATAAGAAGGGAAAAGGTTTAAAGAGGACAACAAGTATAGAAGATTAACTAAGTCAGGAGTACAGCAAACCACAAGCAAGAAGCAGCCATAGGTTAGATAGCAGAATAGAGACTTAGATGCAACTGGAGTAGAAGTCAAAATATTTATACAGTAAATATGGTATCTTAGATTTGTATCAAATTGCTTTGTCTAGTATCTAGGGTTAGGGAAGAAGTGGCAAGGCTTGTAGATGAAACCAGATTTGGTCACAAGTTGACAACTGCTACAGCTGTTCAAAAGTGCCTGACTTATGATAACAAACTACAGGTTCACTGGGTACCTTATAAGACATGAGAATTCACATATTCTTCTCCCCATTTTTCTATGTGTTTGAAAGTTTCCACAACAAAAAGCTAAAAATATAATATTTATATACACACATAGCTCCAGAATCTAGCCACTTCCTGTCACTTCCACAGCTATATAAATAGCCTGAGATACCATTATCTCTCCCCTGAATTATAGCAATAACCCCCTGATAAGCAACTGAGCTTCTACCTTCCCAACCCTACCCTTTTAGGACTCTTTTCCAACATAGCACTCAGAGGATCCTTAAAAATCAGATCGTATGGCTTATTTGCATTAAACACTGCAATGACCTCATGTCATGCACAGAAAAAGCCAATGTTCTTAAATTCGTCTACAATTCTTTATATGGTTGGATCCCCCTGTGGTCCTATTTTTAATGAAATGACAGAGGAAAGAGTGTTTCAAGCAGAAGAAACATGCTAAAGCAAAAGCCTTAATGCAGCAGGAAGCATAGTAGAAATGACTTCAAAAAGTCTGTGGCATATAAAACAAAAAATACATAAACTATTTCTCAGCATCAGGTTCGAGACACTTTCATAATTGAAGATAACAGATATTTAGCCCATCCCTAAATAACTGAGTGTCCTAGGAATTTAACCATATCATTATTATTAACCGAAGACAAATGGGTACCCTTTAAAGATTTAAGATTAGGAAATAAAAAGAAGTGAGAAGGAGTCAAATAAGGACTGTAACATGGATGCCTATTGGTTGTCCCTTAAAACTCTCCCAAAGCTGTCCTTGATTGATGAAAGGAATGTGCAAGAGCATTGCTGTGGCAGAGAACTCTCTGATGAAACTCTCGGGTATTTTTCTAACTCAGTTTTGCCTAACTATCAAAACACTCTCCTAAGAAGCAGATGTTATCATTCTGGACCCTCCAGAAAATTGACAAGCAAAAAGCCTTGGGCATTCCAAAAAAAAAAACTTGTCTCATGACTTTCACTCTTAACAAGTCCACTTTTGCTTTGACTGTATCACTTCCACATCTTGGTAACCACTGCTTTGATTGTGCATTATATTCAGGATCCCACTGCTAAAGCCGTGTTTCAGCAGGTACAATTCTTCAAAGAAATGCTTCAGGACCTAGATCCCACTTGTCTCAAATTCCCAATGATATCTTTGCTTTTGTCTGCAGCTGATCTAGGGGCAACAGTTTTGGCACCCATTGAATAGAAAATTTGCTCTACTTTAGTTTTTCAGTCAGAATTGTGTAAGACACACCAATCGAGATGTCTATGGTATTAGCTGTTTCTGCTATTGTTGGTCCTTCTCAATTACAGCATGAACAATATGAATTCTTTCCTCACAAACTGATGAAGCATATTACTGTGAATAGCATGTTACTATGAGTTTAATCTTCAACATTATTTCATCTCTTCTTAAAATCAATTTTAAACTGTTCAGTCCTTTGGCATATTTTTCCCATAAACTTTTCCTAAAGCATAACTGAGTTCACCATTCTTTCACCCAAACTACTCCAAAAACTAATGTTTGTACTTGCCTTAATTTTAGTAGAATTCATGTTGCTCTGATAGTGACTTTTTCAAACTGATGTTTTATCGTCTTCGTATTTCAAACTAGATCCTCTTCAGACATGTTATAACAAATCAGTGCATGCTTATTTCACTACAGAAAATGAAATCCATGTATTTTTTCCATAATATGTATTTTCCATTAACGTTTTGAAGATTCTTTGTGAATGTAAAGATTGCAAAGAGTCCCAAAGATCATCCAGAACTGACCAAAAACAAGACCAGTGTTCAGTAACTGTGGGCTCACTTAACTTTTCTAGAATTCAGTAATGGTGTGCTGAAAACAGAGTGGGTTTTAGAATCACACTCTTATCTAAACAGTTGTCTTTTCACTTACTAAGATCCTTTCCAGTTCTTATCTCAATTTTCCTCATTTGAAAAATAGTAATTGTTGGAATATTATATGTAAAAGTATCTAGTATAGTTCTTAGCATAGAGCTGGTACTCAATAAACACAAGTAATACAAATATGCACCCTTCTCTTGCAGAGAAAATAAAGTATTTTTTTAGTATATGACAAAATTATTCTCAAAATCTCTGTCCCCCAGTCTGTGTGATAAAGCAAGCCGTGGCCTGGTAGATGAGAACCCTTACTTCCGGTCCCATCCATGACATAACTCACTGGGGACTTTGAGAGAGCCACTTCATCTCTTTGGAATGTAGTTGAATCATCTTCAAAATGAGGGGTTGGTCTAGATCTAGCTCTATATTGTCTTTCATTGCTAAGATTCTATAAACTATGAATAACAGTGATTATTTCATAAGTAGGTGTTTTGGTGTTTGTCACAGGGGAGAGATTGGTGCAATAAAGGAGAGTGGGGTAGAGATGGAAATATCATGAACATTATAAAGTATGGCTGGTTTCATCAGTGTAGGATTTGTGCAGGTTCAGAAGGACTCTATGCTTAGTTTAATGCTCTGCTGTTACTGTCTTAAGATTCTAATAATTTTTTAAAAAGGAGTCCAAAATTTCATTGTAGACTGGGCCCTGCATATCACTGAACTGGTTGGTTCTATTCTCTTTGAGCAATTAGACAGACTGGTAACAAGTTAACCCCAAGCACCTTAAGAGGAGTGAATTGGTGGGGAAGTTAGTTGCCTGGGGTATAATCGAAGTGGGAAATGAGGATTGGGGCATGGGCTAGATTTTAAACAATCATGAATTTAGTTTCTGCTACAATTTGCTCTCTACAGTATTAGAGTGCCATCTACCGGTCAAGGACATAGATTATTTCAAAAGTTTTCAGGGCAGTTTCCCCATATCTGTGTATAGTGTTTCAGAATGGTTTGACATTCCATATTCTGCAATTTGAAATGATATTTTATTAAGTGCTTCTTCAGTTTCAAATTTTACACCAAACAAAACTAATACAATGACCTCCTTTATCTATCCTCACAGAACCTATTCACTGAAGCTACTTTCATTTATTGAACCAAAATAATTTTGGAAAAGCACTATGTATCAGGCACTGACTATTTAATGATGAACACCATTGGTAGAGATATTTAGGCCATTAAGAACTGGTTACGCAGGTGCTTTGGTAGTAGGGTAAGCCTCTGCCTGCAGCACTGGCATCCCATACAGGCACCTCTTCCAATCCAGCTCTCTGCTTATGGTCTGGGAGAGCAGCAGAAGATGGTGGAAGTGCTTGGGCCCCTGCACACATGTGGGAGACCCAGAAGAAACTCCTGGCTCCTGGATATGGGCTCCAGGCTTTGGACTGGCTCAGCTCCAGCCATTGGGGCCACCTGAAGAGTGAACCAGCAGATGGAAGACCTTTCTCTATCTCTCCTCTCTCTGGCCGTAACTCTACCTCTAAAATAAATAAAATATCAGAGAGGTTCCAAAATGGAGAAGTAGGGAGGGAGATTACTGCTCAGATCTAGGGGAGGATAGATTTTAAAAAAGTGGAGAGAGTGCTGGTGCCGTGGCTCACTTGGCTAGTCTCTCTC